GGTATGTAAACAATTGCACTATAAATGTGAGGCATCACTGCGACTGTCAAATCAAGGGCAGTAATTATAGCACTAGACCTCTTGTGTTAGTCTAAAGTGGTAATCTGTAAAGGATTTTAAAGCGTCGTCTGTGGTTATTAAAAAGGTTTGTCACTGTTGCATGGGCGTGCTCAATTTTAAAGCATGTCATGTTTTGTTAAATATAAAAGATAATGCTACACTGAGTAAACAGATACCAAACAACTGGTCAATATATTCTTTTTGTGCATTAAAATAAAAAAAGTCTATTTTTTACAAAAATATTGCATTTGAAAAACCGCTGTGTAAATACTGTGTGACATATAAAATATTGCAACACCCATCATTTTATACTCTAGGGCCTCTGCTTTGAAACTATATGTTTGGGGGTTCAATTTTCTAGTAAAAAAAAAAATACTAGTTTTTTTCAAGTAAACAAAAAGTGTCAGAAAAGACTTGGTATTCAAGTGGTCAGAAGAGAGGGTGATGTGTGGCAAAAGCTTCCAATGTTGTGCATAACATCAAATGCCAGGACAGTTTTAACACCCCCCAAATTACCCCTTTTTGGAAAGTAGACACCCCAATTATTTGCTGAGAGGCATGTTGAGTGCATGCAAGATTTTATTTTTTGCCACAAGTTTTTGGAAAATTTCACCCCTTTTGTTTTTCTTACACAAAGTTGTCACTTTAAAAAGATTTTTCTCACACATACCATGTGGAATTACACACCAAAACACATTCTGCTACTTTTCCAGATTATGGGGATACCACATGTGAGAGACGTTTTCACAGTCTAGCCATGTACAGGACCCCAAAATACAATAAGCACCTTCAAGGCTTTTAAAAGGTGTTATTTCCTCAATTTACTTCCTGACTACCTATCATACATTTGAAGGCCCTGAAATGCCAGGATAGTACAAAGCATCCCCCAGATTATCCTTTTTGGAAAGTAGATACTCCAAGGCATTTGCGAATAGGCATGGTGAGTATTTTGCAGATCTCATTTGTTGCCATAAGTTTTTAGAAAATGAAAATGTATGTATTTTTTCTTTTCAATACCTTGTGACAAAAAAATTAGATCTGCAAAATACTCACTATGCCTCTTAATACATTTCTTGAGGTGTTTACTTTCCAAAAAAAGGGGCATTTGGGGGAAAGGGGGTGATTGCACTGTCCTGGCATTTTAGTGCCTTTGAAACTGTGATCGGTAGTGAGGAAGTGACATGAGGAAATACGCCCTTTGAAAGCCTGAAAGTGGTCATTTTGGGCTTGCCAAAAAGTTTCACATGTAGTATCCTAAAACTGAGAGAAATAGCAGAATGTATTTTGGGGGTGTAATTCCACATATACCTATGACATGTGTGAGCAATACATTAAATTACAACTTTGTGTAAAAAAAAAAAAAAAAAAAAAAAAAAAAGTCATTTTATAAAAACTTGTGGCAAAAATAAAAAATCTTCCATGGACTCAACATTCCTCTCAGCAAATAGCTTGGGGTTATTGGGGTTTGGGACAGTTGTGCTATTCTGGCCTTTCTAAAAATGTGATAGGTAGTGAGGAAGTGAAAAGAGGAAATTACACCCTTTGAATGCCAGAAGGTGAGCATTAGTTTTTTGGGGCCTGTATGCAGTTAGGCTCCTGAAAAGTCCCCATACTCGGGAGAAGTAGAATGTGTTTTGAAAAAAATCTTCCATAGGACCAAAATGCCTCTTTGCAAATTCCTTGGGGTGTCTATTTTCCAAAAAGGGGTAATTTGAGGAGTTTTTGTACTGTCCTGGCATTTTAGCACCTCAAGAAATGTGAGTCAGTCGGAAAGTAAAAGCTGTATAAATTCCAGTATGTATCCCATATTTTGCAGACGCTATAACTTTCACACAAACCAATTAATATATATTTATTGGGATTTTTTTTTTTTTTTTTACCAAAGACATGTTGCAGAATACATTTTGGTCTAAATTTATGAGGAAATTTTAGAAAATATTGTATTTTTCCACAGTTTTATTTTTTGCGATATAAACAAAAAAACAAAAAAAAAACCCAGTGGTGATTACATACCACCAAAATAAAGCTCTATTTGTGTGGAAAAAAAGGATATAAATTTCGTATGGTTACAGCATTGCATGACCACAAAATTATCCGTTAAAATAGCTTGGTGCCAAATAGCAAAAAAAAATGTCCTTGTCAGGAAGGGGATAAAACCTTCATCTGGCTGGTGTGCCTATGTACAAAAACAATGATTGTACTACGAGTTAAATATTGCCATGAGTGGCAGAGTAATTCTAGGGCCGTAAGGTTAATTCTAAACTAATAACCGTAAAGGCTTTTAAAGAGTCACCTATGGGATATGTGGGGTACTAAAGTTTGTGCGGTTTCATGAGCACATGCAATTTTAAGGCTAGACATGTCTAGCATCTACTGGTCAAAACCTCAAAGTTGCTGTTTTCTGATTTCAAAAAGATATATTTGGGGTATTGACAAATTTTCAGTTCTAAAATGTGAATTTTAGCATGTGCAAAACCTGAAAAAATAGTTTGGTAGCTATTTTTTCAGTCGCTAAATTAATAAATATATTTATGCAGTTCAGTTAGCTATGATAGAAAGCCAATATATTGAAAAAGCGCCGATTTTTCTTTATAATATATTTTGTGCTTCTGCCGCCATTTCTTAGTGGAAAACTACTCTGCTCCTAACTTTATCTCCATTGTGCTTCCGATTATTCATTCAAGGGCATTGGAGTATGCACACTCCCTGTTTGACAACGCCCAGCCTCCCCTGAGACAGAATTACAGCCTTAGACATGCTCTGTGGGCTACATAGGGTGTCAATCACAATTGTTTTGACTCGTGGTGAGTACAGTGTTCATTGAGCCACTTTTATTTGGATTAGAAGGAGGTTAGCTGTAAAGCCCAACACTTCCCTGTGCACACAGAATCATGGGACTCAGCAGTTGAAATGATGATCAAACTAGTGTCTGTGCAGTGTGATCCAGACTATAGACATGTAAAAGCATTTTGTTATATCTGGATGAGAAAAAGGTTATTTGCAGAAACCCCTTTCTTCCCTGTGCAATGAATGCCCTGTGTCCCCCTACACAGGAGCTCCTTTAAAACAAACAGTATATTTTAAGTAGTTGTGTTGTTCTCTCTGTGTGAATGCAGTGTTATTTCTCAGCAAGTACAAATGATATGATGTGCTCATTATTGTATTAGGTGATATTCTGTGCTGTATTATCCACTTATACAGGAGCAGTAAGGAATATAAAGAGGTAACTGAGGTTAGTGTTTTTGGCTGAGCAGCATAATCTGGACTGCAAACAAATTCAACGAACAGTAACTGCTTTATGGTCTTTGAACTGTTCACATTTAAGCAAAATAAGGGAAAAAAGGCATGCAGCAAGCTTAGGGGAAATATAAAAACATTACTGCAGACTGGAGTTCTGCTTAAAAAAATTACCTAAAACTTAAATCAACATTTCTGCTGATTTAGCAGCTGACTTACTGTTGGTATGCAAAGCTTGCTGAAGGGATTCCCATCTAGAAGATATGAACCATTGAAGGTCACATACTCATCATAGTACTGTGGTGCTTGAGGGATAACACTACACAGCATCTTTCGCCTCTCTTCTACTTTTCGTCTAATGTGAAGGTATTCAAAATAAGGATTTGCCCTCTCAGACTGATATGGTTGAATATCCTCCAGTTTCAAAGAATCCACAACTGCAGCCAAGGACTGTTGCGTTTTTTCTTTTGCTTGCTGTATTGAAGGATTAACTAGACCAGGTTGAGGCACACGAGGCATCTTTCTTTTACGTGGATGATGAACTTGTACATCATCTTCTTCAGTTAGTCGTATTCTCCCTCTCAGGGATATAGTGTTTTCAACAGTGTCCTTTTCTGAAGTGTGGGAAAAGGTTGCCTGCGCTTGCTTATTTTGATTGGCCAACATGTTAGCACGATTTCTTGTAATTCTTTGAGGAATTTCCTGAGGCTCGGATTTTACTTCAGTATTTTCCTCTACTTCCATCTTAATGGTCTGGCTAAATTTCTGCATCTCTTCCTGTACTGAAGGAGTTTGATTCTCAGATGAACAGAAGTCGTATTTTTGCAAAGATGCGTCCTTCGTGTTACCAGAATGGTTGACTTGATGAAGTGTGTTTTCTTTAAGTGTTTCTGTAGTTCCACTCGTCTTTTCCAAGTCATCGTCATCTTTTCTGTCACTCGGTGAAGCTGTAAGATTTTCTAGAACAGGTTTGCAGTCTGTAGAATTAGACTGTTCCTCCTCTTGTTTGTCCACCAGAATATTCTCCTTTGCTGGACTTGAACTTGGTGTGATTTTCTTTGAAAGATTAGGCGCCTGTATCTCTGCTGTGTTTTGCATTCTTTCCACAACGCAGTCTGAAAGGACAATTGTTAACCTGTCAACAGGGTGAACATTTTCTTGAGGTGTTGCTGTGGATACTGCAGTTTGCTCAGTTTCAGGAAGCTTGGGTTCGTCTTCTTTTACCTCATTTCCTTTGACACTACTTGAGTTGGCACTTGCACAAGCTTGCTCTTCTATTGGAGTGCTAGGTGTCAAACTGCCAAGCAGCAAAGTTTTTGGAGTACTATGTAGATCTGAAGATGGTGGAGATGTAACAGTAGGACATGATATAGGAGAGGAAAGTAAACATGCTTCATTTGGGCTTGTTTTGGTGTTATCTTGTCTACATGAGAGCAAATCCTGAGATGTGTTGCTGTCAGCATCAGCAAATGTGGCAGACTCTTGTTCTGAACAAACCGATTTTGCAGGTTCAGAATCCAAAGGCGAAGACATTCCTACAGGACAACTGACTTGGTCAGTGCTATTTATAACAGGAGATCCCTCTGGAATGGTTTGAGTTTCTTGGACTAACATATTTGAATCTCCAGTATGCTTACTAAAAGGTAAGGATTTTTTACTACTTGGATGTAAATTAGAAAAGCTACCTTGGAAATCTTTTTCTTCTATTTTTGGAGACATACAGCTGCTAGGCACTGATGGAGCAACTGATGTAGTTTTTGTAAAGTGCTTTCTAAAATTGTAGGGGAGGGCCTAACTTGATCAACAAAAGCAGCTGGCATGCTGCATCTTCTAACTTCTACAACTGGCCTGCATTCACTGGTTGCCAATTTAGTATCCTCTACAGACACTGACCTGAGGTAACCTGGGAGAAGTCTGTTTGACACAGGTTGCTTAACACGATCAGGTAGCTCAGCAAGGCTGTCCAGCTCTCTGTCATGAACAGCTGGTGATTTAGCAGTGGATAGAAAAGGGGACTGAGAGAAAGACATTTGAGAATCTGAACCTTCAAGGGCAAAGTCTGAATCATATTCAATAGTAGGCCTTGGTGTGGTCACAGTAGCATGACAAGAGTCTTCAGAACTGGCAACTGATATCATTGATATAGATCGAGAACTTAGACCAGTTTTTTCACTCTCTGACCGAGGAGACCTAGCTAGGCTATTGTTTTCCAATATTAAAAGCGTTTTTCCAGGATGTGACACATTTTTTCCATCAACTGACTGTGATCTGCAGCTTGTGGCATCCTTTAGCATTTTATCTTTAGGGCCAGAGTCTGACATCTCTGAACTTTTTGATCTCATTAACTCTTTGTTTTTAGATGGTGTGAGCGAATGTCTCTGCTTTTCTTTTTCCTTAAGTTTACTCAATTCAGTACTATTTCGATGTCTCAGCCTCTCCTTCTCTTTTTGTTTGATCTTTTCTTTATGTTTTTTATGCCACTGTTCAATTTCAAGGTCTTTCAAACTAAGCATTCGCTCAAAACTAGTTTGCATTAGATCGTCATTCACTAATCTTTTCTCTTTTGGTCGGGTATCTTTGAGTAGTTGTAATTTGGGTTTACTCTTTTCTGGCTCAGACTCTTTAGGTTTTACTTTCAATATATTTGTTTGTGTTTTGTCTTTATGCTTATCTCGTTCTTTATATCTATCTATATCCTTTTCCTTGTCTTTGCGGTCTTTTTCTTTATATTCAGCCATTTTTTGCTGCTCCTCTTTAGATTTTTCCCTTACTAATGACAGCCGTTCATGCAATACCTTGTTGTTTTCTGTGCTACTTGGTTTCCGATCCTCCTGGCTGTGCTTTATACTTGTTCCTGTGAAACAATCTCCTTCTTTAGATTTTTCCTTCTTTCGATAATCCCGTTCTTTGCGTTTACCTTTGTCAGATTTGCTTGATTCCAGATCTTTTTCCATTTGTTTAATTTTTTTATCAGGAGAAACTTTCTGCTCACTCAAATGCTTATCCTTTTCAATCCTCTCAAGTTTCTTCTCAGGTTTGTCTTTGGACTTTTCTTTGCTGGTTGAAACATTTCTTAGTTTATCATTTTCCTTCTGTACGGATTGTAAATGTGGTTTGCATTTTTCTATGTGGTCATGTATGTCTATCTTCTCTTTCTCTGCTTTGTGATCTTTTGATTTCTTCTCTTTGTCTGCGCATTTTTTATCCAACTTATCAATGTCCTTTTCTTTAAGTGCTAGTCTCTTTTCAGACTTCTCTCTGCTTTCTTTAACAAGCATTTCAGCATCTGTTTCCCTTTCAAGGTTTGTTGACTCGTCTTTAACAAGTGCATTCCCTGAAAAAATATCACCTTTTTCTGGAAAAATATTAGTATCCCTTTCTTTTTTTATGGTCTCCTCAAGCTCTTTAGTGTTTTCTTTGTGGTCATGGTTCTCTTTTGTTTTATCTTCTTTTGCTTGTGGTTTTTCCAACTTGCCTTTTTTATCTGGAGATGGGTTTTTGGATTCTATGCTCAAAAATTCTTCATCATTTTCATCACTTTTAAAAAAGTTCTCCTTCCAGAATTCTCGGTCAAACTCTATATTTCTTTGTGTGTTTTTATTATCTCTGTGTTTGCTTTTATCCTTTTCCACATCTAGCTCTTTTTTATTTTTGTCTTTTTCCCGATCTTTATGCTTTACTTTGTGCTTTTTTAATACTTTGCCTTCCTTGTCTTTCTTTGCAACAAATTCTGCTGTTTCAAAGGAAGGGCTTTTGTCATCTTCTTTGCTTTTAACTGCAGCCCTGTCACCACCATATTCATTAAAAAAGTCTTTTGCATGTTTACTTTTTTCCTTGTATTTGGAAATTGTGCTGCTTGAGCTTTCCAGTGCATATTCTGAGTCAGGGCTCTGATCGAAACGGAAGATTTCTGCTTGTAATGATGATTCGGATCCACCAGGTGGTGAAACGCACATTTTAGTGTTGTCTTGTTTTAGTGGTGTTGATTGCTTATCAACAAAAGTGAATGTGTGCTTGGGAGATTTGCCAGGGGTTATCTGAAACAAATGTAAGGACCCCTCATCTTTTGTACACAGAGATTTCCTAAACACCTCTTCATCTCTTGATTTTTCTAACGAATCCAAAGCAGAGTTCATCACTATGTTCACTACTTTAACATTTTCTTTCTTATCCTTTTCCTGTTTCAATTCTTTGTTCTCTTTGTTTTTACTTTGATTCTTCACTTTTTTCTTGACTTTGCCCTTCTCCTTTTGCTCATGTAGAACATTGTACTCTTTTCTGTGTCGGATGTCAGAACTTAGGCTTTCAGTAGCAAGGCTCACTTTTTCAGGAAGCAAATCATCATCTGAGCTATCGGAGCTTGTGAACAATAGGCGGGATGGTTTTGGTTTTCTATTTTTATATAGTTTTGGAAAATCTATTTTATCTTTCTTGACAAAGAAACTCTCGCTCCCTTCAGAGCACTCTTTGTTAATCTCATTCCTAATCACATGCTTTTCTTCCACCATTTTGCCCATTTCACCATCATCATCATCATCGTCGTCATCGTCATCATCTTCCTCTTCATCATCTTTAAATTCATACTCATCAAGTCCTGAAGTGCAAGGTGTCCCCTTGGCAGTGGCATGCTTGCTCTCAATCATGGGCTCCTTTTCGCCCTCTGAATCTAAGTTTTCATCTACACTGGAGAGATTAGTAAATTGGGGCTCCTCAGAGTCTGTAAAATAAAAACAAAATTCTATTAAAATAGGCTGATTCCCAAGCATTAATAAAGGCACATATCAACAATTACTAAATGTCTTTGCATTAAAAAAATATATAATTAAGAAAAACTACCTTTTTTGGCAATGAAAAAAAACCCTGCCGCTTAGAAATTCCTTTTTCATCATTTACAGTCTGGGCAAAGATGACATGGCCTCTGGACCATGTGCATTGTACAAGTGCATTGTAAGTATTTCCCCTCAATACAGACTACAGTGCATTTATTGTTTTAAGACAAATCTTTCTACTGACATAAGTAGGGCAAAGGATGTAAAGCCTTCTTTATATATCCGTAAATATGGCTGTCCAATCAGCATACAAAATGATAAACTATGCATAAAACAAGGTTATTAAATAATAACACACTTAACTTAGGTAATTTATCTTTTGCTAATCTTTATTTTATATATCAGTATATAGCTAAAATAGATATAAAAGCTATAGGAAGGCCATCTCTAACTACAATGAAAAACAGTGCCCTGATAGATCTGCAACATACCACTGTATTTGTTAGAATGCTGAAAAGTGTATGCAACCAATTAAAGGGACTGTTTAACCAAGTAAAGGCCAAAGGGTTTTCATTACTGGCAGAAACATGCATTTTACATTCATTAAAGATTAGTGATTTGTGATTTTTTCACAACATCTATCTGTGGGCTCATATCTTGCTAGCCTTACCACTGTAAATGATACAGTTTAACACAATCATGAGGCAGAGAAGGGTAAAACTAGAGAAGCAATAAGCTGCCTAAGCATCACATGCCAAGGTGAATGTTCATTTCAAGTTTACACCTTGTACAAAGCATACAGTACACAACATAATATATGTAGAAATACCAGAGAAATATTTTCGGTTTCATGCAGAAAAAAGTCATGACAGCTAAGAAAGGAGGCTACATGTAAAAAATAGCGCCTCTCATTCATCCTTTTGTCTATTCTCCTCCCACAGTGGGCGCAGCCCCTCCTTGAGCAGGTCTCACTCCATGAAACAATCACAATGGCAAAATAAAGGGGTGCACACCACACTGATCAACCACATCTGCTGATGAGCTAACAGAAGCTTCAGCTACAGTTCCATAAGGTAAGCATACTTGCCTTATCCCTCACTCCCGACAGCCAGTGCTCTCCTTCGCTGTCTGATGCTCATGGGTTATTGGAGGACCCTCTGCATCCTCATGTGCAACACAGGACCACTGATCCTGCCCTGAAGGTGATGATTTCAAAGAGGTCCAACTGGACGGGCAGCAAAATTGAGCTTATGGGCCAGGTTTCATGAAGGAGAGGAAGTCCGTAGAAGCAAGGGAATAGGTAAGTATTTATTTTACTCCTTTACCAACTTAGCCCTGTTGCGCTTTGTCTAGCCACAATGTCCTCTATACTAAAAATTCATCTTTAAAAATAAAAGAAGAAAAGCTTGTCCTGGGGTAAAATCCCAGAAACCCCCCTCTTTGGACACACATGACAATCCCCAAAGAAATGTGAAAACCCCTTTAGACAACTGTTTAATAATGTTACAGTATTCAACACTGATTCCATATACCTCCTGTACCTGCTTTATATACTTTCTCTATGAATAATTTTGCTGAACTGTACTTGCTTTTCTGCATGTTCATCATCCATACCAATGTGTAATCTTGAAAACCTAAAAAAAATTATTATGGGGAAAAATAATAAAATGCAAGGATACATAAACAGGGTTAATTACAGCATACCTGTAAACTTTCCTCATCATCAGAAAGGGGAATTTCTTGTTTTAGTAGCTGCTCTAGTTCCTCAGAGTCAGCCACATCAATGGGACGTGCTCCATGTTTATTGGCCTGGAACGCATTGCCACCATGTCGAAGTAGTAATTTCACAATCTATAATGATAACAAAAATTTTAGGATCCTGCCTGGATAACTAAGTACAAGTTTTTGTTCAGTTCATAGAATACATTATACAAACACTAGAGAAGAGCGTGTTTCTTTTCAAGCTAACCCATAGCAACATGTGTCATTTTAAGTGTATTGTTCATTATACAACCTAGGTAGTGACTTATAATGCTTAAGTGAAAGTATTTTTACCAAGCATTTAGAAACACGAGGGGCGACAAGAGAACATCAGCACCAAATGGACTTTAGAAACATGGAGGATATTTGCACATATACAAATAATGGAATGTGGCATTCTGTAGAGCTATATACGAGCTCCAATTATATGGCAATTTTAGCACACAGTTTATCACAGATGGCCATATCAGTAAGCCAGCCACAGTGCAATACTGTTTTTCCATATTTCCAAATATGTGCTCAGGCATAGTTCAATGTGTACGACAAAGCACTCTCTTATTGTAACTCTTGTATGAAAAAATGTTTTAGGACTTGTAAACCACTTCAGCCCTGGAATTTTTACCCCCTTCATGACCAGACCATTTTTTGCTATAGTGCACTGAGCTATTTTAACTGGTATTTGCATGGTCATGCAGCACCTTACCCGAACTAAACTTTTATATAATTTACTTTTGACACAAATAGAGCTTTCTTTTGGTGGTCTTTGATCACCAGTGGGTTTTTTATTTTTTGCAATATAAAACGGAAAAAGACCGAACATTTTGAAAAAACAAAACAAAAAAACATTAAAAAAAATAAAACTTTCTTCATAAATTTTGGCCAAATGTATTTTGCTACATGTCTTTGATAAAAAAAACAAACAAGTGTAAATTGATTGCTTTGCGTGAAAGTTATAGCACCTACAAGCTATGTTATATATACTGGAATTTGTTCTTTTTTTATACTACTAATGGTGGTGATCAGTGATCTCTTCTAATGCGACTGCGGGAGTGGTGGTGGGCAGTCTGACACTGCCACTGACATCACCAGTGACATTAATACAGTGATCAATGATAATACTATACACTGTCACTATGCTAATGACACTAGCCAGGAAAGGGTTAACACCAAAGGCAATCAAGGGGTTAAATGTGTGCCTATGTGTAATGTATGCAAAGTGTGCTGCTTTTACTAAATGATCTGCAAAGCTGGGATGAGAAACTTACAGATTGCTCCCTCTATACAGAGCTCTGTGTTGCTTACCAAAACAGAGCTCTGGGCTGTGATTGTACACAGCCGGATCAGCAGGTCTCGGCTGTGAATCATTTGCCGGGACTTGCTGACAGGTACCTGCTGTGTAGAATCACAGTGATGCGGTCAGGGGGGCTGCGTGCACCCGAAATCCAGAAGTAGGCAGCGACATACCCGTGCGCCACTTTGCCTATGGGCAATCCATTTACAAGGACTAAATGTTGCAATGTTGATGAAGACTTTTTCTGTGTTCATACTGTATATTGTATGTTAGGGGAGCTGTCAAAGAGTTCCCTTTGTAGACATTTACTCCATGCATACTACTTTTAAAAAAAAATCAAGACAGAAGTATTAGATGTGCTCTCTTATAGACCAACTATACAGCAATCACGTGACTTTCAAAATAACGTTTAAAGTTCACTTGCCAAAATAATGTTCTCCAAAGATTCTAGATGCTAAATAAATAATTTTGCAGCCATGTTTGGCGATTCATCTTGCCCTCATCTCCTGTACTTTGCAAAGAACATTGCACTTTAACTCATTAAAGCCACTATATTTTATTACACACTAACCATCAATTAAATGGGATAAAATTTCTCCTACGTAAGCACATCAATACATTACGTACAAGAAGAAACTCTGAGCATTGTGGAATTATTATTCCTACCCTTAATACTGCACATGTAATATTGCTTGCCAAAACAATAACTTTGTGTGCTTAAACATTACTTGCTCTGTGCATGCCATGTCTAGTTTCTAAATGTGTATATCTTCGACTACCGCTGACAGCAAACCAAAGCAGGGAGGAATGCAGCTGTGAGGAAAACAAACAGTGTTTTTTTCATTTGCTACTATGAGGGAGAGTGCACAACAACAGAAATGCACTGCGGATGTGTTTTTGCTTACAGTTCACGCCACACTCTACGTTCTGATGCGTTTTGTGTGTTCCTGTACAGTTCAGTGCAGAAAAAAAACGCAGCTTCTACTTTTTTTTTCTGCACCGGAAACTGACTGCACTAGTGTGAACTAGGGCCATTGGAATACATGGAAAACACTGCCCACCAACAAAGTTTGGGTGGCGGTGCCCAAGGTATATAAGAGGGAACAAACAGACTTGTAAGGCTTTTCCTGTCCAAGGCTAACAATACTGTGCTACATCTTGAACAAGGCAGCCATGCAAATACACTATATAATCTGTTAGAGAATATCTGTAGCTCTATTATTATTATTATACAGGATTTATGTAGTGCCAACAGTGTGCGCAGCACTTTACAAATGTGACTAGAGTAAATATTTTTTAAGCACAGTGATTTAACCCACTAACCAGAATACATTTTCCTCATATTGGAAAGAGCACTGTCAAATTCTGGATATTTCAGAGGAACCCTGAAGGAAGGTAAGCTGCACCAAAGAACTAGTGATTTGAGTAAGGGTGATGCTAGGAACTCAAAAAGTGGTATTAACCCCCCCCCCAAAAAAAAATCATTTTTATTCAATATACTGCAGCTTACCAATCATTAGATTTAGTGCTGTATCAGTTGTCTTTCCTTAGGCTATTTCCCCTCTGTTTTCACCTGGTGATCTGGCCAGTAACACACCTCCTGTATTAGAGTGCTCCTACTCTGGATGAACAAGTACAGGGAGCACCTTTAGACAGCAGCTATGTCAGTCTGGGTGGGGGAGTGTTAGTTGCACTAGAAGATTTAAATACTCTAACTAAAGCCAAACTCCAGCTAATACTCTACATGCAGTTACAGCAAACAGTTTTTCCTTTTGAGATAAAAGTATTAAAGTATAAGTTGACCTTTGGGAACATGTTCCACCAGTTTTTAGGGTGTAACATGCTCCCATAGCCGCAGCCACCGCCCACTGACCCCCCCCTTTCTGACAGACAGTATGGGGAAACTTTTCCCCGTACTATCTGCCAGATCGGAAAACAGTGCGGCCGTGTGGGGCGCTGCCCACATGGCCACGTCATTCATTCACGGAATTCCGTGAATGAATGAAGTTGCAGGTCCCAACAGCCTTAGTGGCTGTCAGCTTGCAGTTTTCAAAGAACTACCATGGCACTTCACAGCTTCATTGATTCTTCCTGTCATATCTGCTAGCTCGTAAATCTCGTACGGCCAAGCAGATATTTAGGTCTGCAGGAGACATGCATGGCATCAGTGGTCTACTGATCGCTGGTGCAATGGTTTCCAGGCTCATGTAGACAAAAATAATAAATGCACTTTTTTTTTTACCTGCAAAAAAATGTGCATTTATTATTTTTGTCTAAAAGGTGAACTTATCTTTAAAATTAAATAAATAAAAGATGATTATTGTAAGCACCCCTGTAAGTAATAAATGTTTTGTCTTATCCCTGTATTTGATACATTCAGCTGGAGAGCTGCTTGTTTTTCCAAAAAAAACAAAACGAAACAGACTTACTGGCTGGATCACAAGGTGTAAATAGAAGAAAGAACTTAAAAAAGAAAATGAATGCAGCCATCACATCTACAAAATGGTAAGCTGCAATATAATTGTTTGCTTTCGGATTTAATGCCACTTTAAAGTAAACCTGCTACACTTTAGGTAGGCAACACATATATCCTGCAAATACAAAGCCCAGAGAGATGAACAAAAGTACAGACTTAACACCTTGCTTTCAGCTAGCACTGGGAAGACAATACGGGGGATACAAAGGGGCTTATTTACTAAAACCGAAGAGTGCAAAATCTGGTGCAGCTCTGCATAGAAACCAATCAGGTTCCAAGTTCTATTGCCAAAGCTTAATTAAAAAAGCTGAAGTTAGAAGTTGATTGGCTGCCATGCACAGATACAACAGATTCTGCGTGCACCGGTTTCAGTAAATCTACCCCAACAGTCTTTACTGTTCTCTTCAGTAAGTCAGATCAGGAAAGACCACTATGCTGCAAGAATGGGCTTTGGGATGCCAAAACATATGGCTCTTTGATATTGATTTTGCCTTGCCATGTACTGTATATCCTAAAGTATTAACAATGAAAATTGAAGTTTGAGGATATGATGATAGATTGTGTTTTGGAAAAACAGCTTCCTTTATAAACTACTTAAAAGGTAGCATCTCAATTCCTTATGCAACATCAGGCAAGGACATTTTTTGCATTTATTTATATTTGCTATTATTGCTGTTAACATTTTACAGAGAAAAATAAATAAAAAAAATACAAAACTGCTCATGTGGCTATTAAGTATGTGTTTTCTTTATTGTTTAAACGACCAACTACTGTTCTGCGAGCAGGCAGGAGAAATTGGGTGTTTTAGGGTGAAACACAACATCACAAAATACATAGGTCTGGTCTCTTCGCAATGGTGAACCATAATACTACCATGAATGCCAACATTGGTAAAGTTGTATTGAACCTCAAAACAAAAATGTAATATATTGCACCTTACGAATCATTAGATAAGATGACTGCATTCGTTTTCTTTTCTTAGTCTTTTCCCCTCTGTTTTCACTTGGTAATCTGGACAGTAACACACCTGCTGTATTAGGGTGCATTCACTGTAGATGAAGGAGCACAGGGACATTTTTGAACAGCAGCATTTCCAGGCTGGGGGAAGGAAATGGTAGGCCTCATTCCATGCACACTGCAGCTGTCAAATGCCAATATTACAGGAGTTTTACTTTTTTTTTTTTGTTTCCTGCCCCTAAACACCCCTCTGTGTTAGCCTAGGTGTCCATGCACACAGGCATTTACAAGCATTTAGAGGCAGAGGCATTTAGGGACAGAAATATAAAGTGCACCAAAATCTGGTTCAGAAGAAGAGCGTTTGGG